TCTGTCTCCCACCACCTCAACAGGGTCCAGGGGGCAGCCCAGGACAGAGCTGGCCTTCGTCACCAGTTTGTTCAGTCTGTTCCTGTCTGCAGCTGTAGTGCTGCTGCTCCAGCAGACCACTCCGTACAGGATGGCTGATGCACAGAGTCATAAAAAGTCCTCAGGAGTGCTCCCTGCACACCGAGTCTCCTCGGCAGATGAAGTCTGCTCTGGCCTTTCTTGTAGAGAGCTTGTGTGTTATCAGTCCAGTCCAGCTTATTGTTCAGGTGAACACCCAGGTACTTATAAGAGTCCACTATCTCAATGTCCTTTCCCTGGATGTTCACTAGTATGGGAGAAGTGGGTCTGCATCCGCATTGATCTGAAGCCAGTTCCGTTGGCACCAGTCCACAAAGTCCAGGTTGAATTCTCTGTACTCGCCCTCGTCTCCATCAGTGATGAGGCCGACAATTGCAGAGTCATCAGAGAACTACTGCAGGTTACAGTTAGGTGTCTTGCATCACATTGCTGCCTAACTGAAGGCTCTACCTCCCATAGTACATTTAGAGACTATAGGTACCACGAGCAGGCCTGATAACTGAAGGCTCTACCTCCCATAGTACATTTAGAGACTGTAGGTACCACGAGCAGGTCTGATAACTGAAGGCTCTACCTCCCATAGTACATTTAGAGACTGTAGGTACCACGAGCAGGCCTGATAACTGAAGGCTCTACCTCCCATGGTACATTTAGAGACCGTAGGTACCACGAGCAGGTCTGATAACTGAAGGCTCTACCTCCCATGGTACATTTAGAGACCGTAGGTACCACGATCAGGCCTGATAACTGAAGGCTCTACCTCCCATAGTACATTTAGAGACCGTAGGAACCACGAGCAGGCCTGATAACTGAAGGCTCTACCTCCCATAGTACATTTAGAGACCGTAGGTACCACGAGCAGGCCTGATAACTGAAGGCTCTACCTCCAATAGTACATTTAGAGACCGTAGGTACCACGAGCAGGCCTGATAACTGAAGGCTCTACCTCCAATAGTACATTTAGAGACCGTAGGTACCACGAGCAGGCCTGATAACTGAAGGCTCTACCTCCCATAGTACATTTAGAGACCGTAGGAACCACGAGCAGGCCTGATAACTGAAGGCTCTACCTCCCATGGTACATTTAGAGACCGTAGGTACCACGAGCAGACCTGATAACTGAAGGCTCTACCTCCAATAGTACATTTAGAGACCGTAGGTACCACGAGCAGGCCTGATAACTGAAGGCTCTACCTCCCATAGTACATTTAGAGACCGTAGGAACCACGAGCAGGCCTGATAACTGAAGGCTCTACCTCCCATAGTACATTCAGAGACCGTAGGTACCACGAGCAGGCCTGATAACTGAAGGCTCTACCTCCCATAGTACATTCAGAGTCCGTACTTAGGCTTGCATTCTGGGAGCGTAATGTTCCTGAAGGGTAATACAGCATTATCAGCTCTTTAAGATCAGATTTTTCCTGATCAGAGCTTTGTAAGAGAGGAAAGGATTTTAAATTATATTCTAGATTTTATTGGGAGCCAGTGCAAAGAAGCCAATTAAAGAGAAATGTGATCCCTTTTCCTAGTTCTTGTCACTACAGCTGCAGCATTTTGTACTATTTGAAGAGTCTTCAGAGACTTACCAAGGTAGCCGTCTAGTGTGCAGCCAGCCTTATTTTATGAAGCCATAAACTCCCACTACATATCTCTTGTTGAGGCCAAACAGAGCAGGTACAAACCAGTGAGAGATTAGCACCTCCCCTCTGGCTGGTGAAAAACACAATAAAAACACTTCACATTGCTGCCTTTTCCTAAACCTGAGTTGTTGTTGTGATACTATTTCTAATAAAAACAGTATTATAGCTCTCTCGCTTTAAAGAAGGTAATAGAAAAGTTAAGTTGAACTTCCTGAGATTCAAACAGAGTGCAGCAACAGAAAAAAGCCTCTTTGTATTCACACCTCGATGTGAAGCCTAACCACAACAGCGCTCGAGTTTCCATGCATGACTTGGTCTTCAGCTGTGACTGTGAATGTGTGTTCATCTGTTTGTTTGTGTGTTTTGTTCAAAAAGTTGACCACAGGCAGAACACCTAAAAGTTTTAATGCACAGTGAACTAACCACTAGCATGCAAGAAATATCTCCTAAACTGTTTCTGCTTCATGCTTTGTCTCTCTCTCACTTAAAGTCAGTAACTTTATATGCACAGTTACGTCCAGCTACAGTTACAGCTCAAAAAGGCAATTTTTTTTCAACCTTTATTTACACTCGAGACATCATTGAGGGGCGGACTAGACTTTAGGGGTGGAGCATGCTTGAGCAAAGTACAGATTGCCCAGTGTGAGTGCGCCCTCAAACCTGACTGATATGGGCTCATGATTTTGGTTCTGGAAAGAAAATCTTTAAACTAGTCATTTATTAAGAATTCTATATTGTTTGGCCTGTAATTATTGAGATTACCCTTGTCACCTCCCTTATGTAGGAGCAGGTGAGGGGTTTGTGGAGCATGCTCAAAACGCCTAGTCTAGTTTGGGTCTGACTGAGGTAGGACGTAGGTCAAGCAGCAGTAAAATCAACTGCTGCTTGCCGGTTTCAGTCCTCATGGTTTCCTGTACACAAAAAAACAGGGAATGTGGCAGAACCCTAAACTTGCAATAAAATCACTCCGCCAACTAGCCTTTAAGAGGAGTATTGCAGAGCTAAGGAGCAAGCATGTTTCAACATTTAAAGGTAGAATATGCAATATTTTACACATAAATATAGCAGAAATCCAGTATATCCTCTGAAAATAACTCTGAGTCATGACTGTCATGAGAGTCCCGTGGTATCTACACACTGTTTACATGGACGAGCCGGCTGGCCGGCTCATCCCCTTGCGTATAAAAGTTGTTTAGTTGAGGGACTAGAGAAAAGAAGAATAACATACTTTACTCACTGCTTATTTGAATGTCACGTAAGTGTTTTTAGATCACGGTCATTTGGTGTAAGTTCACATGCAATGTGAAGCTACCAGCAAACTAAAGAGCGCTGCAACGGGAGACGTGGAGCAGCAGTAAAAAACGGCGCACTAAAAAAGCAGATATATATTGTTAATTGACATGCGACATTTAAAAGGTTACCAATCCTGCCTTATGCTGTGATAGCCTATTTGGGTTGTACATAAAAGTAAGTTGTATTTAACGTCATCAAAAAAATTCAATATTTGTGTGTTTCTGAGCACAAACAATTACATTTGCACATGCTGTCTGACAGACGGCTGAGGTGCTTGGAGGGGGGTCTAGAATGTTGGTGGTCCTAGTGTTAATGGATCAAGCAAATGTGTAAAACTTAAAGTCTTGTATTTACTTAAAATGCTGCAGTGATGATGTCCTATTTGTGTTTTTGTGCAGAATCTTCAAGGCTCGATTGTAAAGGTGCTCTACAGATTTCTGACAGGTTGTTCTGGGACCAGGCAGCTAAACCAGAAGACAATATGGCACCCTATTATCTCAAAGAAAGATCTGTGGTTTCTGATTGAACATCCCTGAAGTCAACCAGTGGTGTGTAAAAGCATCAACATTGCATTTTGACAAATACCCCGATGGTTCTTTAGAATCAGAAGAGACCATTTTTGGACCTGGATGTGGATACACAGTCATTTTAACGCACACATGCCCCTTCTCTGTGTGTGGTTTAACATCCCTTTTGGAGAGTTCTGTGAGTGTGTTGAGTCGTCCGTGTGCGTATGTTTGCAAACCGTGCGTTGCATTCTATATCGTATAGGCTCCACCCTCTAAGGCTATTGCTATTGGATTTATCACTTGCGAACCTGCGCAGCACTAAAAGAGTTGTATGTTGCGGTCCACCCCCATCCACAAGGTGGGCCCCTCCCATGGCAACCTTTTTCTGGAGTGAGAGTCACCACCATGGTGGCGGGGCAGCGTCCTGCTCCCCCCTCATCCAGGGACCTGCTGACGGCCCGTCTGGCAGACCAGTCCCACCAATGTGCCAATCAGGCGTCAGCAGCGACCAACAACCTGTCCAAGCCCATCCACGAGGAGGGCCCCGCCCCAGCTCTCCCCTGAGGTATAAAAGCGACTCAGACTGTGTCATCTGTTCCCTCTTTTCTTCGTGTTTGAACTTGTTTTTATGTGAATGTTTACATTTATATCAGACTCCAAAACAACACCCAGATTTCTTGCTTGATGTGTGGCTTCTGTGAAATTGATGGTAAATGAGCGCTGACTCATGATCCCTCCTGTTTGGGACCGAATACAGTTATTTTGTTTGAAAAAGGAGAAGGCCAAGAATAGACCCTTGGGGGACCCCACATGTAATCATTTCATGTTCAGAAACATTTTTACAACCTGAAATAAAGTATTTTCTACCTTGAAGGTAAAGAATACAGCCGTGCAAGTGGAATGACACTACAGTGTTCTGTATTTATGACTTTATAAAATCATAGCAGCTTATATGAGTATTCATAGAGGCCAGTCTGACTTTGGGACCTTGTAATACCCAGTTATGCCGTTCTTTCAAGCCAAACAGAGTCATAGCAGGTGGCGGGTCAACATGAGTCTGGTTCTGATCCAGGCTTCTGCCTGTTCAACATGAGTCTGGTTCTGATCCAGGCTTCTGCCTGTTCAACATGAGTCTGGTTCTGATCCAGGCTTCTGCCTTTTTTTATCTTCCCATTGTTACTTTGCTAAATGTTTGTCTGCTGATGGATGAATTTTGTGTTTCTGTAAATATAATAAAGAGTAAAGTGCAGAGCGGCTGTTTTTGTAGAAAACATTTATTATGAATTGGTGCTGAACAAATAAAGATTGATTGACTGAATGATTGATTACCTCCAAATGATAACGAGACATTTGACAGAACCCTGAAAATGTAAAGCAGATTTAGAAACATGTATTTCTTATCCTCCCAACATGTGGTGTGATGTTTCCTCATAAACAAAGCGCTCATGGACTTACAGAAAGAACAACGCAGGAGACCCGGTAAGCCTGAATGTTACAGTCCTTTAATCCAAGGAGGTTTGACAAATACATTTTATTATGAATTATAGAATATCATTTGCATACACATACCAATACAGTCACAACCTGAGTGATAGAATATTCATAGCACCTCCTTAAGTTATCTAAGTGTAGATATTTGGAGGTAATCAGCATTTTCTTAAGCTTTAAACAAACTAAAATCAGCTAAATCAAATGTAGCCAAACAGACCTTTTCACTCACTAATTCAAACCAAAATCCTTCACAGCAGCACACATCCTTTTCCTCTGCGCTACTTTTGCATCCTTCACTGCACCACGGTCAGCTTTCCTCATGGTGAAGACCACAGCAGAGTAAACTTTAGTCTCCTCATCAATCTGGGCAAAGATAGACATGAGCTGTTAAATGGACAAAAACATAAGGACAACATGAACATCTTTAAATGATTTACCTGTTGATTTTTCACCCTCTCGCTGTTTAATTGCAGGACGACAGCAGCTGGATAATGAAACAGAAAATACATGCAGAGTTAAAATGAAAGATGAAGAAGGTTTGATGATTTTTTGCTGCTTAGAGAACGAGTTCGTCTCATTACTTGAGCCAACAACCACAGCTGTTAGGAAGATTATAACCCGGCAGAAAAGTGTCTTCCTCCTTCTGAGAACACGTTGTTACATGAAATTGTATAATGCTTTTAGAACGGGTCATCGTCACTAACCTTTAGATTGTTCACTTTCTTCTCTCGGAGTTTGGAAGCAAATGAGAGAAACATTTCCAATCAGAGAAATCACCAAGCAGAGTATCGCTATGACCAGCCCGATCAATTCAAAACTTGCTATTCGTTCTAGACAAGAATGAAAATAAAAAAGAATGATTTAATTATTAATATAATGTGATTACAGTTCAGGTTCAGGTGCGTTTATTTGTACCCTTAAGTAGATTTGTTTGCAGCCAGCAAGATAACACACAGATTACAGAACAGATGTAACAATGAACAACACATTAGAGAAAGGGGAACTATATATAAACCAACTAAAACATCATAAAAACCCCAAATAATTGTAAAAGTGCTCAATGTTCTCACAATAAGAAGCATAAGGGAGAGAGATATCTCAACCAATAATATCAAAAACAAAAATGATCTCTTCAGGCAGGGTAAAAATAAGTTTTTGACATTTTTGCAAATATGGCTACAGCTTGTTCACTTCTGTGATAGCAGCAGGAACAAAGCTGTTTTTGTACCGCTGTGTTCTGCACGTTGGGACTAAAATCCTCCGTCCGGGGAGAAGCTGAAAATCACTGAGCAAAGGACGAGAATCATCGTTTATAATTGAGGTAGCTATCCTCTGCAACTGTCTCAGAGACGCCAGGAAGAGATGAGACTCACCAATCAGACTCACCCCACATACCTCAGAACGGAGGTACAGAGCACTGAGGTGCAGGTTTGACTGAAACCATGACACCAAAGAACAAGACAAGACTGATCCAATAACAGCATGATAAAACATCATCATTATGGTTCATGAAAGTACGACAGTTTCCTACAGACACAAACACTGTTTAGACTTTTTACAAACCGTTAGCTTCAAAGTTAAAATTCAAATCAATGATGGTCCCAATGTATTTATAAGATTGCACTTACTCAATATTCTGACCTTTGAATAGTGGCATCGTTCACTTGAGTTTTCTTTCTAAAATCAATAATCATATGTTGAGTTTGAGATATGTTCAGCTGGAGGTAAGACTCCTCACACCTGGTACAAACTGGTCATTTACGGGCCGTGGCTCGTCTCATTCTCTTGAAGCAGACATACAACAACGGAGTCATCGGCATATTTTATAAAGGATGTGTTTTATGATAAATATATGTGTTGAGATCACACAATCTGCAATGAGACCATCATTTCACACTTTAATCTGCAGATTCTTAGCATAAAAAACGTTTGACCTTCAACATCTACTTTGTCACATCTCCAAATATGTGCAGTTACAGAACAGAGCTATTACGGCCGTCTGATTGTCGGCTCCTGAAAACATATAAAAACATATTGTGTTAAGATGTTACACTAAAATCTTCCAGGTGGATTCAATTGTTTGAAAATGAATGTTAAAAAATGATTCATATTGAATGCTGTGCAGTTACCTTTGATGTCAATCTTTTTCCCTTTTCCAAACAATATCTCTCCACATGCGGCCACAGCACAGAAATAAGTCGAGGCGTCGGAGGAGTTGACGGTCTTTGAGAAGCTGTAGACACATTTCTGTGGAGAGTGAGCCTCTGGACTCTCCTCACATCCTCCAGGTCTGTTTCCATGAGTGTAAATGACACTGGGATGAGTTTCATCTGATCCGGCTCTGAACCAGAACACTCTGTGTTTCCCTGGACATGTGTTGTTTTCAGACTCAGAGAGAACAGAACACTGCAGAGTCATCAGGTCTCCTGGGTGGACTGGATCCTGTGAAATGTCTTGAACGACTGAGGTGATACTGGGCTCTGGTCCTGAATAAATTCAACACAAAGTAAATATGCTGGATTTGATAAAAATATTCTCAATTTGGAATGTTTGCTTTTAGTAAGAGGTTAGTTTTTTAAAATGATTTTTATTTACCTTTAATCTGCAGAAATGTTCCTTTTAAAACTGTCATTTTAATCCTCTCTTGTTTCACACAAAAGTA